CAAGGGGCCTGCTGGGGATCCACATTCTTCTGCAGTCAGGATGGATGCTGAGTCATCAGGAAAGCTGGCCATTTGGTTTATGGATTCTAAATATAGAGGTGAACATTTAAAGCCCTAATCTGGGAACAGTGGACATTCGTGTGCAGCTTTGGTGACGTGAATGGTTTCATTCGTAATAGGCTTGTATCAAAACCAAAGTTGTGCTTGTATTTCATGTATTGCTGACAAACTGTAGCTCCTATGACAAAAACCAATAATTAAAATTTAAACATTTTTAAAAGAAAAATAGAAGAGTGATAAGTTTCAGTTTTTGCTAAACATCAGAACTCTGTCAGGATAGCTTGTGTATCTTTGCTCTATGCAGAAGAGGTAGAACAAGTAGACTTAGGGGGAGAGAGCATAAGAGCAACCTAAATGAAGGAAGGAAGCTGAGGTTAAAGTTAGAAGTGGTGAATTTTGACTCTTCAATTGGATTTTAGCTATTGTGTTCAGTGGGTAAGGAATGTGAGTTTGTGGGAGTCTGACTGGAAATTGTCAGTTTGCTGAATAAATATTATCAGATATTTATACTAACATTACCTTTGCAGTTGGTATAATATACCAACATTCAGTGGTTGGTGGGGCGGTTTTTTAATATCTGATGAACTTCTGCACACTTGGTTGGTTTTTTTGTTTGTTTGTTTGGGAACTTTGCTACAATAGGACCTTTGATATTCAAAGTGCTTTGACAGAGAATCAGAATTTAAAAATGCACTTTCACTGTAGTTGAATTTTTATAATCCAGTGTTGCATAGTAGGAGTTCCTTCTTAAAAAAGCAAGGTTTTAAATGGGTGATTCAGTGTTTTATTTTGACAGCGTTTCTGTGCCTTCTGCATAGATCCTAGCTGAAGAAATGCTTGCTGAGTGCTTTGCCACCTGAAAATGTGGGGCAGGGAGGGAGAAATCCTGCCTGGTCAACAGTTATGTCAGTTTGGCTAAACACGTGCATTGCCAACAGTGGTGTCATGGCTCTGCCAGGGCAGGCCCAGCCGTTGCACCTGCTGGTGCCACCGAGGTGCCATGACTCACCCCTGGTTCTCTCTGTATGGATCTGCTGCTGCAGAGCATGTGCAGCACAGGTGCCATCTCCCCACCCAGCTATCAGTGTCTTCCAGGACAGTGAGTCCTTCAGTAAGCTGTGAGGTCCAAGAGGTATTGTTCTGGCAGGCCAGGTGTGGCCCACAGGCGCCAGTGCCTTGCTCTGCTTTGAGTGAATAAAGTGCTTCATTATTTAGATTGCTTACAGTGCAAGCAGGCAAAACTCTTGGTGACTGAATTAAGGAAACAATATCTAGTAAGTGGATGGCAGCAGAGGAAAGACTGTTTTGAGGAAAAATAGGTTTTTTTCTTGAAATTTTGTGTCAAATTTTCATCCTGAGTATGTACAGTATGTTTTAGGAGCTAGTTTTGTAGCTGAAATAGCTGGAAACAGAAGTCTTAATAGGGTGCAAAAAACGTGTAACTGTGTTAAGCAATGAAGCTCTAGCCATCGCATCCAACCTGCAGTGCTTTTGTACAGTGGCAGTTCATGTGCAGCTGATTCATCAGTCAAAAAAAAAAAGTCATTACCTTACTGTAAGATGTGAGCTTCAAAATGAGACTCTGCCCTCATTTTCTATGAAAACTTTAAACATGCAAAGTTTGAGGTTTTAAAAGTTAGTCAGCCATGCGTGAGTTATAAAACCACAAGTTAGCAACTGATGTTAAATTTTGAAAAGACTGGTTTTTATTTGCTTCTAGCTCAAAATTAATTTTGTCCTTTTCCTTCCAACTGATGTAAGACTAAGACAGATGATTTTACAATAAAATGGAGTTTCTTGACAGTAATACAACAGCATGATGAGAAGAATCTTTTTCTGATTAAACTAGGGTGGAGGACTGTTCTGACACTTGTCTTAAAAGTCTGACCTTGGCCACAGACATCTTCTCTGTTGCTCTCATGGAGTTTCTCAGCAGCATGTAGGTGGAGTCAAGGTCTCTGGGCTCCAGAAGACAAAAGCTTAATACGTGACCTCCAATTGTATTTCTGCTGCCTGCGATAGCTATAAAAAAGGCAAGAAAGTCACGGTTTATTCCACTAGGAGAAAAATCAGTAAATGTTTATTATCAGTAAATGAAAGTCCATTTTATCAGGACTTTCTAGCATGTTCTCTGGAGAGGACTGAATCCTTCTTTCAGTTATGCATGGTGTGCTGAAGGTATTCATTTGGAACTTTATTACCTGTCTTTATTATAATTCTCTTTATTTTGGGTGCTATCTTTGCACAGAATCAAAACCAGAATGTGTCTCTTCTTCTTAATTGAATTTCTTACTGTTATTTGTCTATTTTCTACCTACAACATTAAAACCACTAGTTATGTCATGCATGCTACCATTAATATATAATGGATGAGACCTTGGTACAGTTAAAAAAATACAGAATACAGCTGACACAGAAATATGAACTGAATTATTGACTGTGTAAAATATAGCCACAATTTCAGCTTAAACTCTTAACATTGTGTGACCAGTTGCTGTGTCTCATTTGAATCTTATGTGAAAAGAAACATGGAAAATACAAAACATTTTCTGTATCCACAAAACTGCTAGTTCTTTCTCCAGTGGAAGTGACTCCCCTCTGTCTTCAACAGTGAGCTAAACCCAGTAAGGTAGCAGTAGTTCCCAGTAGTATCATTCAGGTTTTGTTTTCTTGTGGAAATCAATGCCATTTTCAATCAGTCTTTTTTTTTTTTCATATGAAGGCCCTGAAGTGTCACTCATCCCTTTTAATTCTGACAATACTGCTATATGAGTTGTGGTGAAATTAAATTTCTATCGAAGAGGCAAATGTTGTGTATAACATATACTTGCAGATTTCTCTAATGAATGTGCAATGCCATAAAGGGCCCACAGCAGCTTCCTAGTCAGTGGCTATTATTATGGAGCATTTAATTTGTGCACAAGTATAGTCTTTCTTGTCCATATATGTCTCTATATATCTCTAATATGACTAATATAATATAATATAACGTGTTTTCTTTCATGTGATTCCTAAGACCTTGCCTCAAAATTGGTATAACAAATATTGTTCTGACCCATAGGAACCAAGAAAAAATTGGCCAAGGCTTCACGAAAGACAAGATCTCATCATAAAGAAATTTCACAGTCAGATCTAGAGCTACTCTGCATAGCTGTTCGGGTAGATCTGTTGACCCTTGGATGAGTGTAGTATCAAGAGTTGTTGGCCTGCATTTTCTGGGACCTTCTTGATATTTGTGATTTTACTCTTCTATATAGGAAAACATAGAATCTTTAGGCAAAATGAAAAGGAAAGAAAAAATGTTGCAGCTTGAGTATACCTGTACATTGCTGTGTTGTTAGACTTGGTTTTTAAATTAGTTTTTAAGTTCTTCTCAGAAGTGCTTTAGTAAAATATTAATGTTGGTGTTGAGCAGTCACAGGACAGAAGCAGTCCAGAGTCTGTATCTGCTTCATACAGAAAAGGCCTGTAATAGAATCAGCAGAATGCCTTAATATGAAGAAGTTTGAAAAGGAAACTAAGCTGTTCTGTATTTTCATTTATTAGACAGGGAGAGGGAACTGAAGAGTAACCTTTAAGAAACTCAAATTGCACCTGAATAATTTGCATTTAGAAAGGATGTTCCTTTTGTGTTCAATTGGTTTATTGAATCCATGTTAGATTCCTGTAAATGCTACACAGCTTTTGCATCTCCAGTATTTTGCCTGAATGAAAGACTCACCTTTGGAACCTGGCTTGGCTATATTACATTTATGTTTAGTCTAATAGAGGTGATGCAAGTCATTGAACTGAATGGCACACATTCCCTTGGTCCTTTAGAAGCAGCTTTAACAACAATCTCACTTGGATGTTCAGAGAGACAGGAATTAACATCATTCCAATGCATAGGAACATGCTTCTGCTTGAAACAGCCTTCTCAAATGCATGTTTCCACAAGGGCAGAGTGTGGAGCTGAAGGAAGAAAAGCTGAACTTACATTTCATTCCCAAGAGAAGTTAAAAAGAAGGCAAGTGCTTTGAATGGTAAGCAAGCATGCCTTCATTTTGATTCTACTGACCTGCCATAAAGAAACAAAACAATGCTCATTTTACTGAAAAAAAACCACTTTGAAAATTAGTGTCTTAAGGAGCTGTGGGGTTGGTATGAATGTGGACTGAGCTCATTTTGTTCCTTTAGTGTACAGTATATGTTGACAGTAAATTCTTCCTGCAGACAGTGGTCATGAGAAGTTTTGCCTTGGGGGTTACACAAAAAACTGTATTAGAAGCGTATGAGAAATCCTGCTGTGTATATGGGACCTCTATATAATACACCTATTTCAGTCCCTTTCTGTTTCAGCTTTTTTGTGAGATCTCTCAAGTATCTTGTACAGAGTCTTTATGGGCAAGGTAGTATTTAAAAGGTGCTTGAGACCTATAATGTTTTGGGATTTGTTTGTGATTTTTATGCAAAAGCAAAATCATAATGAAATCATTCATTAATCTAGTTTGTGAATTACACTGAGAAGTGCTTTGTGGAAAAATACCCAAATCACTAACAGAGATTGGGGATTTAATATTCTACATTAATATACCCAGAACTAGACACATCAGATTGTAAGTAGCATTTTTGAGTTTGTTCATAGCAATAACTACTTTTTTGTATTAAGGGAGGGTGATAGTTTGGTTCTGATCTTGAAAAGCAGGAAAAAGCTAATGTCTTTGTGAACTCTGCACTCTCTTTAGGGGAACTTTGCAATAACCGTGCAATTGCTCTTTTGAGTCAGAGTCTGGGATCTCCTGAGTTATTCTGAATGTGTGCTAGCCTCAATTATTCCTCTGGTCCCCAGGTGGATTTTTTTCTTCCACTGCTCTACAGCTTTCCTTATCCTTTCCCACATGAAGGTAGAAGGGCTAGAGTTTGGAATGACAGTACTGGAAATGGAAAGCTTCTGTAAAAGAGGAATCATAACTTTTGCCCAGAAAATCTCTATGTAGTCTTTGCTTTCATATTGTTGAATCCCATGCCAAGAAGCTATCCAGTAAACAGTTTGCCATAACTAAGCATCAGGACCAAATAACAAGAGCCATGGATAAGATAACCACCATAATAAAGGTCCACTAAAGCCGTATATAAACAAAGCCTTCCCAAACAACCTCGATATTTTGTACCTGTCACATCAGCAAAAAAGGCATGGCTACAATCCTCGACTTCAGTACAGCTGCTTAACTGTAATTGGTTATAAAGTTGTGTAAGAAATTGTCCCATCCTGGTGAATAACCATCTCATCTCATTCATTGTTAGTTCATGGTTGGGTTAGAGCAAGGGTGATATAATAACACACAAAGCAGTAACTTTGGTACCTAAGACTTGCAGCTACCACAAAATGATGCTGTGTATTCTCAGAGGTGGAGGATACAGCCCATCTGACTTCTGTTCTTTGCTCTACCTATTCAAAGAATAATAAATTGATATCAGTAATCTGCTCTATTTTCTCTAGGCACTCCAAGAGTGAGATTTGGAGTATTTAAGGAATCTACTAAAGCTCAGAAATGAAACATAGGCCATCTAGAACAATGGATCTTTCCAAAGTAATAGCAAAGCTTGCCCATGTGAGAACAGAATTTTCTTTGGAAACAGTTCAGCTCTGTCTCAGAAACTACAGATAAGGAACGTAAGTACCCATGTTTGTGTGCATGTGTGTGTAAAACAAAATAAAAATTCCAAAACAAAGCAAGTTGACTTGCTCCTTCCCAGCTCCACATAGACAGAATCGTAGAACTGCAGAGACAACAATTGTTCTTTAGGCAGGCTTTATGCATACCTGAAGCATGGTCAGGAAACAATATAGAAATACATAAAAAAATAGAATGGAAAAAATAAACTAACGTGCAGAAATGTCTTGCTGCTGTTCTGTTTGTCTCTCTATATAGTGTAAATAAATGAGTATGTGCAGTTGATCATGGATTATCCTTTACCCATGAGGGTCTAAAAACTTAATTTGGAACAAGTTTGACAGGGTATTTCACAACTTCTTTGGATTTTTTTTTTTTACTTTTTAATAACTTGGCATATGAATTTATGAGTGTACTGTGGTACTATCATCAAAAAGAAGATCAAAATAGTGACTAGAATAAGTGAAAAGGAGATAGAACTGGCACAAAATCTGTATGGAACAAAGAAGTTACATTTATTATTCAAAGTACAACTCCCATTGGGAACTTGCATAGATATATAAGTCATGATGGAATAGGTCCTCTAACGAAGGACCATTATTATGGGAAGCAGGTAGTCTCCATTTAAAATAAAAAGCTAGGCACAATTATACTGGTTGTTAGCATGCAAGCAGCTAAAAGAGCCCTGTGTGTTATTAGGCACTAACCCTTACTACCTGAAATGGAATTGTCTGATAGGAATATTGGGTAGGTCTTTCTGTGGAAAAAAATGCAAATTGTGGACAAAGTTATCTGTAGGAGTCTTATGACTGATATTAATGGTTTAAGGTTAAGTTTTGTTGGCAATGAAACAAATATTTTGGCTGTTCCTGAGGTCTGTGAGCTTTATTAAATACATGAATTACAAGTAATTTGATAGCATACTATGTTCTCTTTGCTTCCCTAGGATCCTTGAACCTTGACTGAATCCCTTCATCTGAGACAGGCATTGCTTTCACTGTTGTTTCTATGACAGCTGAATGTGAATGGTGAATGTGTCTTTGGAAGGCAGAAGGTGAGGTGCATTGTCTTTTAGTGGTCAAGTCTGATAGACATCCTTTTTTATGTGTTGGTATTGAGTTTTATATAAGATTTTTTTGTATAAGTTTTCCCTAGAGAGAAAGATAAGAAATAAAGGATTAGGATATCTCTCCATACAATAACTCCTACTGTGAAATTCTAGCCCTATTTTTAATGCTAGGTTAATAGTTGGAATTGATGATCTTAAAAAGTCTATGATTCTAATAAGAGCTTTGCTACTGACTTCAGGATGACCACAGTTTTACTCCTAAGGTGCAGTTGTGCTTTTCTAGGAAAGCTAAAGTATAAAATACAGTTTCTGCCAGCACACCATCAATGCAATAGGAAGGGAAGAGGATAACACTGAATTACATCCATAGCCAATAATAGCTGCTGTGAGCATCCTGATGATCAGTGTATTAATGTTAGTCACCAGCTTTTTGGGTTTGTATGAGATTATTTTCTTCAAATCTGAATGAAGTAGACTCAAGATGAATTTGAGTTCTTTATGGAACTGTAGTTAGTATTTTTTTTAAAACTCTTTAAAGAATGTCAGATGTGGTAAAGCTTCTTAGATTTTTATTAATAAAGCACACCATTTATAACTAAGTTTTGAGGCCCTCCAAGGCACTGTTTAATTTTTCAGCTCTCTTTTTTTGGTTCTATCTAGTTCTGTATTAGCTTCCTATCATCGGGTCTTGCCTTTTGTAAAGCAGATATTCTCATGCACACGTTTCTGGGAGGTATTGTGCACATCATGAAAGAAGGAAAATGACTATTGATTGGGATCCCAGTCTTCACTGACCCACTGCTCAGTGGGTATTAGATAGTGTGCTTGGCTATCAGCAACATTGCAGAGAGTCTTTGGCCAGTACATTGCCTACAAGTCATGGATTGAAGACTGTTCCTTCATATCTTTCAGGCAGAGCTAACATACTCTTTTTGATAGGGCTGTTTTGATGTCAGCTAAGAAAATAACTCTTTGATGTGTTTGCATGAGAATGAATCCTGTAGATAAAATTATATTGCATAATAGTTTCCTGCAGCTCCCCAGATACTTATTAGAGTATTCGGAAATTTAATTCAGCCTCTCCCTAAGAATTGAGATCTTCACTTTGTACTTCTGATTGCTTCTCTCAGCTCAATTAATGACATGGAAGCACTTGTTCTTTCTCTGAATAGTGTCTGGGTGCCTCCTGCCAGAGCAATGGAGATCACCTTCTGCTGAGCTTATAGATATATGCAGGAATAGAGCCATAATGGGTGCTTCAGTGCACTGTGTAATACCCTCTTCCAAATTAAGGAGGCTCTGAGACCAGTCAGTTTTTCCCTGCCTATATTTGATTGCACACTTAAAATCAGCTGACTCTCAGATCAAGTGGTGCCTTGTAGCTTTAAGCTCAGCAGTGGCTGTTGTCTGTGTTAGGGAATTTTTCTGTCACTATAAAAGGCAAAACAAGACTAAAGATATTAAAGATAGCCCTGGAATTTTTTTGCAATGATCCTCCCTGAGAAACTTGAAATTTCTTGATTGCAAATAGGAAAACTCTTGAAGTTTCCTACTGGGTAGTACATGGTAAAGAGAACTTGAGAAGGGAAGAAGAGGATTTAATTGAATACTTTCCAAAAATAAAGTGAAAAAAAATTATGTATATCAAATCAGAAGGAAATAGAATAGTAGGGTGAGGTGACAAAGTCCTCTTACAATCTGATAGTACTCAAGACTGGGCAAAGTTCTGCATTGTGGTATTAGATGTCAACATCCTGAGATATTCAGCTTGGCACAGTGAGACCACTTCATTGCCTCATTTCATGCTAGTGTGTTTCAGGCTATGTGCTGAATATTTCCAGTACTTGGCTTTTTATACTATGTGCAATAGATTAAATTTTCCTATTTTGACAGGGAATATCTTTAGCAGGATGCCTTGAAATGCCTTAGGGATTCAAGCTGTCCCTTAATCAATGCTGCAGAGAATGCGGTTTTGATTTTTTTCCTCTAATATATGAACTATGACACTAGATTCATCCTGGCATACATCTGTCAGAGCAAACTGAAGGCATTCAGTTAGAGACACTTCATGACCAGCATAGGGCCAACAAATAGGAGACAATCTAAAAAAGGGGGATTGAAATATAACATAGATGGGAAATATAAGATATCTCAAAATAAGGTCATAATGGAGGACATAAATTGCACATCTATGCAGACAGCAACAGGACATCCTCAAAATATGCTACAGTATCTGCATGCTGATACTGACTTTTACAAATATGCAACAGATATGGATTGTTTCTGAAAAGAACAGCTATGGGTCAAGATGTAACATAACAGAGAAAACAACTCTGCGAATATAAATATTTATTATTAGTGGAGAGAAACTGCTTCCTACTAAAATTGGCAAGAATGATGAATCCAACCCTCTTAGTATTTATTGGAGAATTAGAAGGCTAATGAGGTGCAGCGAAAAACCCTTTTCTGCCTTCTAGAAAAATCAGCAAAGCTAACACTGTCAGACCATAATGAAGAATACTCCAGCATATTGAGAGCTACTGGGCTGCAGATCCACCACTAAAAATTTCCAGTGCCTGATACTGAACCAAAAAGAGAAAAATACAAAATGAAAAATCCTACATTATCTGAAGAACATGCAGAATTCTTTTCCATCTGTATTTTTTGTGATTTTTAATACTTGTGTGAAACACTGCTGGACTGCCATAGAGCAAATTACAAGCAAGAGATGAATGTGTCTGGTTTGATCTCTGAGCTTCTTTGATTAGATGCAGATAAGAGTCAATGTCATCTCTACATATTGTGGCATGTTTAACATCTGCTGTTCCTTTCTGGGTTGGTTTGCAGTTTGAGTCCTTAACTTATGACCTTTTCTTTTTCTTTGATTTAGCCATTGATTACACCCCAGAAGATGTGATTCATTTGAACTACAAAATCTCTGCTTGTTGTGGTACTAATAAGCATTGTGCCTACTGAAAGCTGTAGCAGAAGAGAAAGGGAGGAGGCCTAACATGCCTGACGCTGTCTTTTGTCTGTGTTGCAGCAAAGGGAGAAGGAAAGATGTATAGGAATTGTCTTATCATCATGCACACGTATACACACACATAAGCATTTTTATTTCTTTATCTAATCTCCTGGACGCTTTTTCAATGCCTGTCTTAACCCTTTGTTCTTGAAGTAAGCAAGGAAAAACTATACGACAAGCATTTAATTTTTTTCTTTCTTGAGAGCAGCTAGTGTCCCTTGTGTTGAGAAGAAAATAGTACCGTGTGGAAAGCTAAATTTCAATTAATGCATCAAAGGGCAGTTTGTGGTGTTTTGCCTATAACTAAGGCTTAACTGAGTTGCAGGACTGGGAATTTTGTGTTTTCCTATATGCTCACTTACTGCATTCTTAGCTCTCCTACTTTTCTAGTCTTCCTCTGTTTCTCCAAATGGGACTAATGAAAGCAGTATAATCTTGTCGAATATGGTTCTTGCTGAGGAATTAGATGAACAGCTGCTGGAAACAGTCTGGGAATACAATTCGGTGAAAAAAAAGAGATGAGGTACAAACAAATTCCCTTATGATGCCATTCATTCTATATGCAGTATTATACCAGAGGGTGGAAAAATGGGAAGGCCTAAAATTCAATTTCAATTTGAGCTGGTTTAAAAAGAAGCAATTCTACATACATTGCAGCCACAAAAGCATATATTTATAGGCACAGGCTTTCACTTTGTAGGTAGAAACTGCACAGCTGGTTGTGTACATCTGGTTTTTTGCATGCATAAGAACTTACTTTTACAGGCACAACAATTGTACTTTCTTCTCAGTATTTCCCAAACAGTTATGCTAATTCCTACATTATCTAGTTCATATCTCTTCTTCGTGCTTTAAACAAGGTTGGGAAGGGGAAGAAAACCCTACATTTTGGCATGCAGGACAATCAAAAATCCAATCCAGAAACTGAAAAAGTCATTGGTATGTGTCAGTGTTCCTGCAATATCCTCCCACTCACATTTTTGCATTGTAAAAATCCAGCATGCAATTGTTGGTTAGGACTGGAAATTAAAGCTAATCTCCTCAGTTGCCTTATGCATGTCATACACCAATTGAAGTAATGGTGTTTTGCTTTCTTGTCTTGCTACTTCAGTGAACTTCTTCTCAGGTCCTTTACACCTAGCAGTGTCTGGGAAACACACACAGAATTAAACATGCCTGTCTATGGAAATGGGAGAGTCAAACACAAGAATTATGTTGATCTTGGATAAATTATCATTTAGTGTAGTTCTAATAATTCACACTATTTGGTAAAGTTTGGTGGGGATCTTGGTAATATAGAACATGCTGTGGCCTTTGGCCACACATCCCATATTTTGAATCAGATTTCCACCAACTTGTTTCCTTTCATCCTACTGATGGCCAGTAGCCAGTAGTAGGAGTTGGATTCTTTTCTTGATTGGTGGGTTAGAACACATGAAAACCCTCTTATGCTGTGTATGTTTTGTAAACTACAAGCTTGGACTGAAAACAGCCATTTTAGAGTTCTAGGAAAGTAATTTTAAATAAATAGTTCAAAATATTATTCTGGAACAGAATTTTTTCCAGTTTTTTAAAATTGGAAGAGGCCTTCTTGGTAGTTATGAAGAAAGAAATATGTATTTTTTAAAAATAACTCTTAGACATCATCTAAAAGTTTAACAGTCATGAAGATTTCATCATAAATGACATTTTGGTTTCTCTAAAAGGGATTGCATTAGCTCTCAGAATGGAAGTGTCACCAGATCAACTGTAACTATAGCTTGACACTTTGTGCTTCTGTGCATGTGCACAGCTTGATATTATCTAAGTACTGGTAACAGTGATACCTAAGGCTGCCCTGGATAAACACAGGTTTCTGATGACAGCATCTTAAGTACAGGAGAAAAGCTCTTGTGCAGTTTACATTTATGATACCATCATATCCCTGAGGTGCTGACAGAGCTTCATTCACAGTTTTTCGGTGAGTTGTTTTTCTGTATTTCATGTATCACTTCTCTTTCTTGGTGAAAATTATTGATATTTCTTCTCTTTAATAAAGCCAGATTAAAATTAAGAATGAATGTCAAAATACCTTTTACTAACCTCGTTATTTTAAAAGAATTCAAAATCCCAATTTGACTTCTTAATGGTTGTAAAATGTATGTTTTGGACAATAGAACTGTATTTTAAGAAATAAAGCAATAAATAAAGAATATTTTTGACACATTTATGTTTAAAAATTGCTGAAGTTAGTTTTCTTTATTTTTTCATTTTCATAGTTATTTTTTATTTTACGTGGAGGTTTGTTTTATTTTACTAAGACCTTGGTTCACCACAACAGTTGTACTGCCTAATCTATAGCAATCACGTTAAATGAAACAGGTTCTCCAGTACTGAAATCATTACGGGAAAAAAGAAAAAGGAGGTCCAGTCCACCATCCCTGTTGTGGCAGGAAATGGGTAACTAGGTCATCCCTGACAGATGTTTGTATAGGCTGCTGTTAAAAACCACAAATGAAGGGGATTCCACAACCTCTTAAACCTATTCCATCTAATCTAGACTTTAAGTTGAAAGGATTTTTTTGTTGTTGTTTCATTTTTTATATGTACTCTGCTGCATAATTGTTATAATTCAGGTGGGTACAAAGATCTGTTGACCATGACTTTCTGTATGCTACCTTTTAAAATACACATTTTCCCTCCGGTCTTCTTTTTCTGAGGAAGCCAAGCCCCATTCCTTCAATCTTTCTTTGTAAGTCATATTTTCAAAATAATTTACCATTCTTGTTGATTTCATTTCAACTCCATCCAAATTGTTGAAATTGTTCTTAGAGTGCATTGCCCAAAATTGCACAGAATGCTCCAGCTGAGGCCTCAGCAGCACTGAAGACTGCAAAATAATTAGGTCCTGCATCTCACATACTGCACACTCCTAGTACATCCTGGAATGCAAAATGCCTTTCTGCAATGTCATCACGTTGTCGACTAATATTTAGTTTGAAATCCACTTGAACCTTCCTATCATTCTATCATCATCAGGTTATATTAATATACTCTGTTTTATTTTTGTCATGGGTAGTACCTAATTTCTCTCTGTCTAGTATGAGCTTGTTGCAGTTATACTGTTTCTCACATTAGCTAAATATTTTGGATTCTGATCTGCTTTCCTGTGTATTTGCAACCCTCTTCCAGATTTTTTTGCAAATTTTACAAGTTTAGTCCCTGTTTTATTATCCAAGCTGTTCAATGAAAAATTGAATAGAATAGGATGGATGAGAAATCCCTGAAGGATGTTACTGCAGTGCCATCCTACTCTGTCAGGAAACTGTTGATAAATACTGTTTGAGAGAAATACTTAACGACTTGTGTGTCAACTGTTACTTGAATTTGTCTACACGATTTTTTTTGTTGCAGGCAAAATTAATGAGGACCCGACTAAAAGCTTTGTTAAAGTACAGATATCACATTTACTGCTTCCTTCTTATTCAATAGGCCTGCTGCCCTTTCTAGGAAGGAAATTGGAGAGATTTGACACAATAATGATTCTAAGATTACATTTTAAAATCTTACTACTTAACTGTTTTCTATCATACTGTTGTCTTCATGCCTATACACTAACTGCCTAATAACCTGGATAGTATCCCTCAGAGATGGATGAAGTTATTTATGAAAGTTAGGTCAATTGAACTTTATTTCCTAGGACAGGCAGCATTTTCATCCTTTCTAGTCTTCTAGGACCTCCCTTGCACTTCATGAATTCTCAAAAACCCCAAACCAAAACAAAAAAACCCACCACAACCTCCCTTCCCCCCGCATCGTCATGCAGAGATTATTTTATATTTTAAGTGCTCTGGGGTAATTTTTAGCAGATTTTCCTATGGGAACACATTTTATATGATCACACATATGACCAGTCACACCACACCATGCCTTTTGAACTTGCTGTTCACTCTCCAACTGAACTGGACTGGGTAGGGGTGGTCTCAAAGGTTCTACATTTCTATAGATCTTGTGAAAATAATCAGGTAAATAGACAGTCTTCCATGGCAACAAGGAACTCAGTGTAAATGAAACCCTGATATCAGGCACTGGAAAACTCACAGAAGAGTGTTATGAATATTCCAGCCATAAATTTCAGTCAGACTTTTTGCTCTGGGCTAATGCAAACAGGAGACATAAGGCTACAGGGAGGCAAGCTTTATCCACTGCTTTCTGAACTACATGTTTAAGTCAGCAGGATTGGAAACTGGCATTTCTTAATATTGCTTAACCCATTCCTTCCCTTTTCTGGTCTGTGCGTCTTGGACTTCAGTAAATTGCTTTGCATGTCAGATGCTAAGATATTTTGTAGCTATGTTAGGCAAAAAAGAGCATTGAATATTTCAGTCTTCTCTGTGTCACATTATTTCCTGTCTTTCAGTCAGATACTGGTTTTGAACCTTCCTTTGTCTGCATTACTTTGTGTATGTGTGTGTGTGTGTAACCTTTTATTGGCTTTTAGGTCCTTTCCTAGATTAACTCATTTTGCCTCTTAGCCTTCATGATTTTTCCCCCCTGTGAGTATACTATTCTTTTAAACTCATTTTTAGTCATTGGTTCTTGTGTTCACTTTTTTGCATCAGTCCTTGATTTTCACTTAACCAAATAGCTCCTGATGAAGCTTTGCTGCTCTCTTGCAGTGCTTACTTTGTGTCATGGTAGTCTGCTGCTGTGCCTTTAATACACTTCTTTCAGTAACTGTCAGCTCTCCTATGCTCCCATTTCCTTATGAATTTCTTCCAAAATATCTACCTACCCATTCATTCCCTAAGCCAACAAAAATCCGCTTTTGGAAGCCCATGCTCTTTCTGTCAGTCCATGCTTTCTTTGGCATCATTAATTTTATTGTTTTGTGATCAGTTTTATATTTATATCTTCCACCTTTGTCTTATCAGGAAGTATTAACTGATGAGCTAAATATGCAAAACAGCCTTTCATCTCCTATCTCCTCAACTGTCCAAAATCTCTGTACCCTGAAAGAAAGGTTGTTTCAAATCTGCTGACTACAGGGCTGTTACCTTTTTCTTGGAGGTGTGTCTGAACTGGGTGGCTATCAGATCAGATGGAGCAAAGCAGCTCCCCTATTCCCAGCACAGAATGGGGCAGCAGACCAGCTGCTGGAAGGGAACAGAGGCAGAGAATTTGTAAATTAGAATACTGTTATTTTAATATCTAATATTTCATCATCTATCAGGCTTATTGTTGATGTTTTGTGGCCAAAATTTGAAGGCCTTATTCAACAACTACCAAAAAAGCAAACCAACAATGCTAAATTGGTATGACTTTTGCCTGAAAAAAAAGCATCAAGACATGCCCCATTGCTATTAGAAACCACATACAGACATGGCTCTCTGCAAACACTGACTGTCTCTAATGGCTTAAAATCAAAGGCAACAAAATAAGCTCCAGGCAAGACAGATACTTCAGGAAAGGAGATATAAGGTGTAAAGAGTGAGACAGAAGTATGAAAGATGTGTGGAAAAGCAGGAGCTTAAAAAAACATGGAGAGGAAGCCTGGCAGATAAGAGAGGCCTATTTACCTGAGAGCAGCATTGTAAAAAGAATAGTCTGTGTGTAGGAAAAAATTGCAGGGAAGAGAAGACAAGAAGATTGTAAGGAGCATGGGAAGAAAAGAAATATAATAAAATGAAAACAGGTGAGGAAAAAGAAAGTGAATGTAGCATCCATCAGGATGTTTTTTTTAAAATTTTTTCACCGGGGAATATTTAAAATCAAATATTTTTTATTAAAATGACATACACGAGAAGGGATTGTAAAACTGTCCTTGATTCTGACTGGAATGTAGCTAATAATCATAGTAGCTAGAGCTGGAGTCAAGAGGAATATTTCTATGGCAAAAACCCCAAAAAACAAATTCCATTTGATTTTTGTGTTTGGTTTGAAGGGAAGCTGTTTGCAGGCCTCTCGGAGATTTGGAGCAAAAATCATTATAGCAGAGGTGGATCACTGGATCTGACGGATGGTGATGGTATCAAAGGCATAATAAATGCAGTTTATGACAATTACATGTATGATAAAACTAGATTATGACAATTACATGTATGATAAAACTAGATTGTGCTTACATGGTGTTTGTGTCTATTTCTTAAATGTAGGCTTAATGTGATACCATTGTTTTCATTTTACCTTCTCTGCATTTTGATATACTGGTATTTTAGGGAAGATATTTTTGCTACTATATTATTTTATGTATGTTTTTGTTACCTTGCAACTCAGAGTTGATAGCAAGTGCTATATTAAAAAAATTATAAAGCATGTAGTGCAGTATATAGCTCAAGGAAACAGCTCTAATTCAGTGAGCGTCAAAATTGATTTAATAAAGATCAAAATAAATTCTTCCTATAAAAATGTTACTGCGCTAAATCAGTTTTAGAAAACTTTAACTAAACTTGAAAATTAATGTTTGTACAATTGCAACATTCCTATTTGCTCACAAATAATTGTGAGAATTAGGTGCAGAAGCTGTTACAATCTGAGATGGTGTTCTATCACAGCAATGAACTTCCTGTCACAGTCACTGGGCATTTTACCTTGTAGTTCTGTCAAAACTGCATTTTGAATCTTCTTGAGCTACAGAACACAGACTGGAAGATTCTAGTCATTATCTTAGCCCAGAGTGGCCAGGAGCACATTGGTCTGATACATGTACTCACCTGTGTCAGGAGAAGGAAGGACAGAGGAATTTGAGCCACAAACTTCCAGCATTCATCAAGACAGAAAACAGTATTTTCTTCTCCCAAGTTATGTTTTCCCAGCATACTGCATTCCATCTAACCTAGAAATGTCATCAATACATCATTTTGATTATGAAATAATGTAGGCATTTTCTATACAAACTGCTGTACCAGTGTGCCTATTTAGTTATAAGAATATTTTTCTACTCTGCTAGTTAAATCAGATTGGCTGCTGGTGTTGGCATAGTTATAGGGGATGTGTATGTCTTTCTATATATGGGATAGTTGAGTGTATGTGTACACATATTTTTATGTATAAAATTCATAAATATTGGCAAATATACTGGCAAATATACAATGAGGCATACTGTAAGGGCTTATGCTTTAAGAAAATACTGCTATAGGTCTATTATCCAGTGCTAGGATGACAGGGAACTAACAAAGAATTTGAAGCCTTCTTAACAAACCAACCCTCAGTTACACTGGCATTAAAAATAATTGATAGGCTAAATAAAAGGATACTAACAAGTCTGGGTTGCTCAACTGTCTTGTGCCAAGGCCAAGAAAAGGTGAAAAGAGGAGACGTAATACCCTTGTTGGGCGTATTTTAGAACTCTTAATCAAAAGTAGTCAATGAAGAAAAGAGGTGCCAAAAGCATCTGAAGCAAAAGCCCTAGCGATCTCTGATTCCTGACATTTCCCTGGGTTCTAGCTGATAGAGACTGATTTAAGTTTGGAAGCATATAGTTTAGTACTTTTCCAAGGATATTGTCCTTTATCATAACTCTGGAAACTCTTGACTTTCATTCCTAAAAGTACAAGCCTGCTAAATCAAGTTCCTCTTCTACCTCTAATTCCTCCAATCATCTTGTGAATTTGAGGCCTTCCTTCTAATTATTGACATAATTAAAAAATGGTCTTATTTAGAACCCAAATGTAAATATATGTTATTCATATAATCAGTTACCTTATGCGGTCAGTCACTGAGCCCCGGTATTGCAGCATCTGCTGCTTACATGAAACCTAAGCCGGCTAATAGCAAATTGATTTTAGTGGGAAAAAGAGAGGTAAGACATACCCAGTTATTAAGGACATGTATTATTTGATGTTATTAGATACATATCTTTCATAAGGACACCAAAATGTATTTGGTGCCTATAAGCAATGAAGGTGAGGATCTCAGAATAGGGAAGAAACTGTAATGTCTCTGGTCCCACAATCATAGCATATTCTTCCTCAAGAACATCTGGGATAAACTCTGGATTTTACATGTAATGTTTGAAATTATGTTTTTGTTCTGTAAATTATATATGTAAAAGTTTTCTAACTGACATCTCACCTGAGCACACAGTTATCTTTATAGACACCATGGAGATGTCTCCAAAAACTCACTCCCGCTGTAATCTTCCTTATTGTCACTATTCATCAACTCCTTCCTTTAAATGCTTTCCTTCACTATCCACCAGTTAACTTCCCTTAACTTCCTAGAGATTATGAACTTACTGTGATAAAAGTTTCTTGCACAAATAATTCCAGTGGCGAAGTTGAAAGCTCTAGGAATTTTAATTTTGGGGAATTTTGTTGCTTAGCTTTTTTATTTTTGGAATAAGGAAAACTCATTGTGCTTTTCTGTTCCTCAACTGTCCTCAATTAGAGAGTTACTACTGCAATAAACCTTGCTAACTTTCAGTTGACACCTTCTTATGAGAACAAGAGCACACAGGCATTTCACTCCTCTCTATTCTGATCTGAATTTTGAGGTCATCTTCCTTAGGAGTTAGCAAAACTAAATGAGCTTTCTGGGGCTTCAGCTGGAATGAAGTTTTCCCATGTAGGTAGGTGTGTGACACCTTCATCATTATTATCCAGTGCAATCCCACTGAAAGGGGACTTCCTTATTATCTATATATCTACTACTTCAAGTCATGCCTAATGTCAATGGTATGCAGTGTTTACATAGGAAACCTTGATAGCAGACTATTCTGTTCCTAAAAATTAGAAGGCAAAGAGAAAGATTTAATATTTATTAT